TACAACATTCTAGTTTCAGTACTAGACTCTTTGTTACATAATTATTAGCAAATGCAATACTTATATACAGAGCTTGAGCATATGAGAGTATTTAAGGTCATCACCATTATCAGCATCATCTTTATCATCATCGATGCATATAGTTTAGCAGAGTTTTGTCAAAATCCTTATAGTTGTTATCTATCAGTCAACAGCTTCTCCTCATTGACCATATAAACAGTTAACGAACGCCCAGAAGTTAGTACTTCTTTAGATGTTATTTAATAGTCCATCAGATACGATCGTAGTCAAGAAATTATCATTTTATGGAACCGAATTTTTATCCCATGACCGAGAAAGCACGTCACAAATTTCTGTCATGAGCCTGAACAGTTCAGTCAACACCCTCCCACCCTATTTCCTTAAGATCCATTTTAATGTTATCCTGTCTTTCAAGTGGTAGCTTCATTTCCGGAAAGTCATATGTTATATTTATTGTTAAACCATGACTTGTAAAGGAGTACCTTTCATTTAACCCAGTAACATTGTTTCTCGCTAAGAAAGCCCCAGATTTCCTGCTACTTTTGCATGAATCTAGCCCGAGCATGAGATGAATGTGATGGAAAGATAATTCATATCAGAATTCTCCTTTTACCATCTATTATTAAACAAATAGATACACACTATAAAATGCATTATATTATATAGCTTAATATTTAAACTCGTTATTGCTAGCCTGTATGGCTGTTACTACTTTTGGAACGTTAAAGTAGAATTCCTCTTAAAAGCCCACAGATCCCTAGGATTGTCTTCGGCCGTAAATATTCGTTCGCTCCCAGCAGCAGAAGGAAGATTGTTCTCTTCTTCCCAAACGATTTGCGCGACCGTCTCTTTCTACTTCTGTTCAAGAGTCACATACAAGAGAGAGTCAGTCGCTTAACAAGGAGCAAATCCCTTCTATATTCAACCAACCTTCTTCAATGTCTCTCTGCCACATTTCTCTTGCCTTCTGCAGAACACCGGATGGCAAAGAAGTTCTTCAGTATGTAGAAGTGCCATGTTGTCAAGATGATTCTTGCATTTGTTATAGTCTTGTGGTTACTTAGTAGGATGTTCCTGTGATCATGTTTTAGTAATATGCGAGATAGAACTGGTTTTGATTTGTAAGGAACTTGAGGAAGAGATAACAGAAATCATCACAAATTATACAATATATCAATCAACATGACCAAAATTAAATTATGTTCTGACGATGTGAAAAATATTTTATGACAGAATACCTTGTACCCTTACACCTGCTTAATTTTCATGAAATTTGGTACAAGAACGACGTAGAATAGTTGTCACTCGTACTACGTGTTCGTGCATCCTTGGATTCAGAACTTGGTCTTGAGACTGCTTTCTTGATTTACGTCTTTCGCGGGTTTCCTAAGTCCTTCGAACAAATTATGCGATAGTAGCTTCAATTGGGTCACGACAGCTTCCTTCCACCTCCTTTTCAGTTAATTATTTACTAACCATTTTTATAATTAGAAGCTATATGCTATTATCTGAAACATTAGCATAGGTATTTAATATACGAAAACTAAATATATTTTAATATTTTTTATAAAACAAATAGGTAGGACTTCCAGTTATGTTCACATAAATTAGAAGTAATTTGTAAAACGTGTCACGTACACCATTACGGCTATTAACATAGAAAAATGGCAAACCCAAACATATTTAACGGATGAGCCTATTTTACCGAGGAAACAATATCTTTTTAATTCATCTCTACCAGTACATTCTATTATTTAATACTTATTTACTTTTTGATATGTTACAAAATAAATAAGCTATTAGAATTTAAAAGGAAACTAATTATTTTTTTATAATCCTGATGTACTGAAGTTCAGATTGATATAATATATTAATCCTAAAGACAATATAAAATATTACATCATATAAAATAAATTAAATTAATTCAGACACGACACAGATGTACCACTGGCAACACTGCGGGCCGCATCCTTACTTGACAAATTAAATTTGTCAGAGAATAATGTGAGTCTTCATTCTTAGACAGTTTTTCTCTTTTGTTAAATTCATTGAATTAAACTTCTGTAGTGAATGCTTCCAGAATCAATGGGCCTACGTAAGTTTCCAATGTATTACATATATTACAGACCTTGTAAAATAATTTGTCCAGATTATTTATTATCTGATATTTTTACTATTTTCTCCCATAAAAGTTGTGAAATTCAGTTCGAAATTTTGGCTTTACACTTACTGTAAAAATAGTTTTACCAATGCAGTTCAATTTTTTCCATTCGGTTAAAGATCGGAACGCCATATTAATGCGATTGTTATAAGGTTTGCTTTGAAACCTGGTTTTTCCATATTTTAAATATCCTACTTGTAAATGGGTTACATTCTGTATTTCGTATCCAGTTTCTTCGTGTTTTAACATATAAACAAACAAGTATCTGAACAACTTGATATTCGAGCTTCTTAATCAACCTGTAGCTTTTATCTCTTGTACTCCAACTCCCTTCTCCTCTTCATCTTCTCCTTGTAAGCGTCTTCCTTTACTTCTTTTATTTTACATCTTACATCTTGGATCAAAAATATTTTTGGAGCCTCTCCAGAAACTCCTGTGGCTTTTCTTCTTATATAAGCCAGCAACCACCTCCTTCTTTTTCACCCTGATTTTTGCACAATTCGCTTTCATTCAGTTTTCTTTTTATATATGACAATTCCTATCTCTTTCATGCTTATGTTCTACCTTCTTTCCTTCTGTTTACATTTCTTTCTCTCATAAGTAACAAATAACAACCTCTGTCATCAGTCTCATGATTCTATATCATATCCTCCCTAACACATACACACACACACAACACCCTTTTCTTTTACTCGTTTACGCCTTTTCCTTCAGTGGACATATTATATAGTATGAGGACTCGTCCTCTTGGCCCAATGCAAACAAATCGGCACATCCACCCATCCGACCTCACCCCTCGCACAGCAGTTTCACTCCCTTTCTATGATATCACCATACTCGGAATTTGCATGGAATAGATATGGCAGGCCTTTTACCCAGAGGTTATACAATGCCCAATTTACTGTAATAAAGTTGCCGACTCCCTTGCAAAGTAGTAAAAATGAAACAGAAGTAACAAGAATGAAATTAAAGCTTAGGTTTTTTTACTTTTTTATTTTAGGAATTAGACTTAATGTATTTTAAGATACTTAATTCGGTTAACTAAAACGTATAACAACTTTTAAAGAACGGACTTCCAAATTCAAGTCGGAGGAAAACATTCTATTTCATACGTGTTTTATATTTTGCAGCTGTATAAGGCTAGACGTACAGGATGTGATGTATTACATAGCACCAGGACCTAATTCCGTGGCAGACAACTTTTTTCAGTTAGTAGTGGCTTTAGAAGCGCTTCAACATTTTTTTTCTTCAGTTTTTGTTGTCTTGTTTTGTCTTTGATATGTCGTAAGACAAGCTTCGATCAAAGGTTATATTCAGTGTTAAACCCTTCTGAAGGAACATGAAATATTTATTATTAGCATTTTTACAGAAACAACAAAACTCTGTTAAATTTTAACATTTAAGTTATACTTGAAATAGACTGATCAATATCTTAAACAGCCTGAAGTTCAGATCACACAGCTCATTCACTTAAGAGCTACAGTTATGGCGGCAATTAGATTTACTCCCTAAGCAGGCCTGGAAACAAACAAAATCATTGTTATTACTATAGAGTAGGATACGTGTGTTGATGATTGTTATCGAAGGAAGCCAATGTCTTTACCTTAACGTTTCTCAAATTTATTTGTCTGTTGTAACGTTATGGAGCAATGTTTCAATGTTCAAACTGACAAGAAAAGGACGAAGGTGTAATAAAAAATTACGCTAGATTAGCATGAAAAGTGCGTGGAGTATACATGGTTTTACTATTCAGACTTTTACCCTTCAAAGAGAGCTAAATTTCTTCCAAAGACCATTTCCAACCCACGATAAATACCAATAAATATAAGTTACCTAGATGCAAATGTAAAGTGCTGATTAATAGATTATATACAAATAATATTCTGATAAAGTCTATAAAATAAATATAACAATATTGCTGTACACAAAACGCAAATAAAACTTTATTAGCATTTTTAAAAAAACATCTAATTATAGAGAACAATTTTTTACGACAAAAGACGCAGGTCCGTGTAATATCTATAACTTTAGTTAACACTTTTTTGGAAACGGAAAATATTTAATGTAATGGGAAGACGTAATTAATGACTGTGCTGCATAAAACGCTTTTCAATTCTGTTGGTCACTGATAAAACCTGAAATTAATTTCAGTACTGAGCTCGTTCTTAGTTTCTCAAGGTTAACGATATTTAATTATTGTCTAGCTAATTTAATGTATTTCTCTTTCAACAGTAGTAAAGAAACAGCTATCGTAAGGCTGGGACATTTATTTGCATCCTTAATAATATATATGAGGTATGCAAAGCCTGAAAAAAGGCATTTATGAAATAATATGTTTAAAATACTCGTTTGTACATGCGTAGACTATTGTAATTGTGAAGGTTGGGATGTTACGTTATCCAAAAATGATCCAGCATGGTTGGTTTTATTTTTATTAAATACTTCTTTCTTTGCAGGTTTCAAACCACAGAAAATGTTGTTCATTTCACAAAAGGAGGTGACGGAATTATTCCGGCCAAAAGTAGACCGATCTCCCTTTAATCAAGTAAGTGAATAATAAGTTAATATTTAACAGAAAGCAAGAAAAACATTAGTAGCTAACAGCCGTGTCTTTCACAAAATGTGACACCACTCTAGTAAATATGGTTTTTAATATTGTTGGCACTTTTATCTTCCCCCGACAGAGGCAGAGGATATGTTTTCTAGCCTCTCTGTCCAGACCGGTTCCAAGGTATCCAACGGGTACCGAGGTCCTTTCTTTGGGGTAAGGCGCGGTTCGGGTATGATGCTGACTACTCACCCCATCTAGTGCCGAGGTTGAGAATGAGTAGGATCTTTACCGCCTCTCTCCTAAGTGCCAACATTACCATTTAAAGAGATGACTTTACTTGTTGGCACTTCGAATTATATTTTACCCGTGGTAGCGTCTGAATTGTTAGTCTATTGTTAACTGCGCCTCAATTCCTATAAGTAATCTAACAACGATCTGTAAATAATATTTGGCCTTACCACGATTAAATGTGACTCAGCTGTAGAAGAATTTCACATCACACGTCAGAAAAATTGAGAATGATCCGGCAAATACCTGTTAGTATCTGAACGTAAAATACTGTGTTCGGAAATAAAACATAGACCCGATAATTACGTCCCTCAGATGAAATAATTCCTGCAAGACAGACGATTTGGTATATTACGTAACTATAGTGGTACATTTCCCTTTAAGTAGATTATTGGTGTGTCGAGTTAAAAACTTCTTTCTTCTTTTATTTTACAGCCTGTATTTCATGTTAAGTTAAGGTGTTATTTAGCAAAACGGTAGGTCCAGCCCTAAGTTAATGTTTAAATTATACAACGATATTAGTATACATTTTGGAAAATTAATGAACAAGATTTATGATATATTTTAGATTTTTTATTTTTGTTTTTTGGCATTTTAGGACTCATACTTATTTACCTTGGTACCGGATGTGTTATTACTGAAATACAAAAATAAATTAGACGTTTTTTCAATTCATTTATAACCACACATATGTGAATTCGTCAGAATTTCCTTGACATATTTAAAACACGTTGAAGGCCAAAAGTTAATTTTTGTTCAACCTATAAATTAGGGCCAAGTAGTTTAAAAACTCAACGGAAACAAACTTCTCTTCTGTAGACATATAGCTCTTTCCATTAAAAAAAAAATGAAAAGTTGATGTTACATATCAATTTTTCAACAATTCAGCTCAAAAGGAAATTATCAAGTTTTTATAGCATTAATAATATCGTAACTACATACCTTCTATGACATTTTTTCCCTTCTTCTGCCCCTGCAAACGAAGCTGGGATATTTTAATGGATTTATAAACGGTGTAGTAGTGTATGTGTGAAATGGAAACGTTGTTACAGCGGTAAATGGTCGTAGCTTTTATGGGTATCATTAGAAGAAGATAGCAGTAGCATAATGGAAATCACCGAGAACTGTAGTGTCCACTGGTGGTCCGCACTCTTTCAAGTTCACAAGGGTTGCACCCAATAAATTCTAGCGATAAAACCAGCCCCATCTCCATCCCACTAACTCCTTTTTATTTCCACTGCTCTGAACGCGATGAAATTTGAACTTCGGTATATAAGCCATGGTGGTTAAGTTTATCTAGAAACTGTGAGATATCAGTGGTTAAAATTAAAGGGGGGCAATTGTAATAATATTAGGCATTATTCTTTATGCATTAAAACGTATAGGCCCTACGCAATAATAACAGTGCAATCCTGATGATAAAATCATCATACCATGATGACCTTTATATGAGCGGAGGTAAAGACCCACACATTCTTAACGTAGCTGGAGGTTAGTTTCCAGATTTACGCTACAGTTGGATAGGAGAGAGAGCAGAGAAGAATCCTTGCCTCTGGCGGAAATCAATGTCTCGTCGCTCAGCCTGCCTGTAGCCACTCGCTTAATTGACAGTCATCACAACACATCAGGCAAAAAAATTATTAAACATTTCGAAAATGTTTAAAGAAACGAGTTATCACTAGAAATAATTTTGTATGAAACTGTGATGTTTATGATGCGGACGTTGAATGAAATGTGTTTGTAGCCTATAACGTTACTGTTTATAGCAGTGGTATTCAACCTTTTTGTTCGCGTACCTCCAGATATAATTTCTCTTTAACTTTGTACCCCCAAAGCTGTTGGTGTATAATTCAAGTTATACATAGTATATAAACTACATCTAAAATAAATTAAATAAATTACATTACTGATTATTCAGTGTTTTTCATAAATAATATATATTTTTTTTAAATTTCACGTACCCCATAAGATGTCTTCGCGTACCCCAGGTTGATTCCCACTGGTTTATAGTATAGTGCTGATGTCCAGTGACATTTATCACTCGCAGTGGCCTACGTTCTGTACTTTGTATATGAAAACATTGGCGGAACAAAGGTGAGAGGAGAGGGGAAGATAATGCAGGGGCATGTTATCGCGAAGGGGGGAGGAACCATCCACAGTCAACAGGGAATTTTCGTAAAAAAATATCTAGTCACAAATGACGTTGGTGTGAAACGGAAAACAAACTGCGAACGAAAAGCGAAGGCTAACTTTGTAGACTTGTTTGTTACTTACCGGGAAAAATTTCGTTGGCCTTTGATAAGCCTTGAATACTTTTACAGTGGATGGTTGCTTCTTGTGTTGGCGGGTCATGGCCGCTTACTAAATTTTATACATAGGCCCAGGTTGGGAGACGATCTTCAAACTTGCTTCGGGAAAAATATCATTAATTCCAAGGTTTTATGAAATATCCGAATAACTGCTTTTGTAAAGGAATTTTATCAGAATGAGTGATTGAGTGTACGCATGTGTAATTCATATATAATGTATTGGCCATAGAAACATAGATTTGTTCTGTAGTGTCAAAAGGGTAGCCATTTTTTTATATGCACTAATACCGTTTAATTGGCAGTACGTAGGAAAAACCGGTAACTGAGTACACATTACTGCTATAAAGTTTAAGGCAGCATTGGACGTTAAGTGGGAAGGAGTTTTGTTTCGTTAGCATTATTATTTAGAACTGAAAACGGAGAGGGAAATGTTATTAACATCTGTTATGTACTTGGTGATATGTTACAATGTCGTATAAACCTCAATGTCTGTAGACAAAGAAGAGTGGAACGAGACAGATGGTTGACGAAATAAAATGATTATTTGGAGTCTTATAAATATGTATTTAACTTGACAGATACGGAACCCATTGCTAGTTTCGAGCGACTGTTTGTATCACTTCTGTTGCAAGGCCTCGTTGTAGAAATTACATAGATTTTTACGCCTCACAGTTATTAGTATATTTCGAAAATTAGTCCTATAGTCTTTCGCATATTTAGCAGTGACGAAAGCTCCTGTCTGGATAGTATTGGAGGGTTATGAAAGAAATGATTTACTGTAAAACAAAACAGATGCATTTTTATTGATACTGTTAAATACCTTAGCATTTTGGTGGGGTCATTTGGGAGACTTAACAATGAAAATTCATTTCCACAAGAACTGACTTCAATTAATACACCAGGATTCGAAATTGGCATTCAGTAATAATAAAACACGTTGTAAACCTTAGTTGTCTTTGCTGGTGAATTACTGAAAATTACACCTAACAAGGACTTAATGTTAAATAATTTTTGTCAGAGTATATATTCAGATTTAGAGCTAGAGTTTCGTGTTTTTAGTTAAGTTGTTAAACCATCTCATCTGATGTACTTCGTTTTTATCACACTCCATTCTCGAAAATGAGGCATTCGGGTATTAGTTGTGTCAGAGGTTTATTAACTGCAAACGTTCAGTTGTAAATTTTACATTTTGCATAAACGCATAATGGCTAATTCGTGCCTACCGATCCATAATTTTGAATTCCGAGGTTACTTCATGAATTCCATTAAATCTGATCAGTATCTGTCCAGTATAACCCATGCTTTACACACGGCTCAAATGGGGCTTTAGTTATATTATGAAAATAGGTTCTGTAAAGGAATATACAGAAAATTGTTTTGAAAACTGAAAAAGGGTTTTTTTAAATTCTTGATTTTCTTACGGTTCCCACCGAGTCTAATTTAGGGGTAGGATAACTATGGCCTTCGAGTCTGATGTGGCCCGTGAAAGAATTCAGTCTAGCCCGCGACTTCATTAGAATGTTATTAATAAGGAGGCCAATATACTCTATTAGTAAGAAAATTAAGATGTTTATGGAAATGTGCACTTTGGGGTCCACCATATCTACAATTTGACACGAGAAAGTAGAGAATGTAGGTTACTTCATATTAAGTTTAACACCCTGAAGCCGAAGCACGTCTAAATAATATTTACAAGTCCAGTTCGTACCTCAGAAAAATCAAAACACTTCACCATTACAAAAATCAGCTGGTAAATGCTGTTAAAAAATAATCGCTATTTACATTGAGAATCATGTGACAAAAACATATACAAAATTCAGAGATATTTATTGTTAAGCCAGTGGTGCATATACGTAGTTATTTCTGGGCTTAATATAATTAATTTGTAATGGCACACATCAGAGTTCAGGATATCATGTCCGTTTTCGTTACTAATAGTGTTACTTTTTTAATTATGACAGCGTAAATATTAGAGAAATATGCATTGTGTAAACCAAACACATTACAGATATATAAAACGAGACAGTGAGCTACAAATTACTGCAGCTAGGAAATGTGTAAAGGACGGATAGCATATGCTTCCTTATCTGCTAATACCACCACATCCCAGATTCCCTTGCGTATTACATCTAACGGATGTTCAGCTCACATATTCGCCCCGACTACAGTAAACAGTCTTCAGACAAAATAAGTTACAGTAACTAAGCATCGACCATTGCGGTGCCAAGTGGACTGGACCATGTAGCCCAGTGTCATAGCATATCCTTCTCACCTAGCGATCCTGAAATCGATAGTTCGATGTTCACGCAACAAAGCCAAGCTGGAGCAGACTTTATCTGTCGAGACTCTCCCTGTCAGCCATTACAGGACTGTCACTAAACGCTGGAGTGGTAGGTC